TGATAGAAAATTACTACAGAAGGACATCCCAATCTATCAGCTACATTTTTGCAGCTTCCGACGAGAAGTTTCTACATATAATCTTCATGAAGCGACTTTTTTTTTCATTGTAAAAAATCATTTATTTTTATCCATTTGCTGATTTCTTCACATATGTGTATTAAGATAGTATCAATAAATATAAAGTAGCTGATATTTTTAAACGTGAATTCGCATGTTTTGATTCTTTATTCAGATTAAAAAGCACTCTTAGATAGTATAATGGATTCGAAAGACTTGCACTGTATTATATGAAACTTTCATAGGTTGGGGCTGAGCCCCCTCAGTTCGAAATTCCTGGCGCCGCCGCTACGAGTATCTTACACATGAATGACTATTTGAAAGTCGTTAGGTTTTTTCCACGCAATGTTTTTTTTCTCAAGTGTTTTTTTCGCGATGCTGATCACCTATGCTGTTTACTTTCAGTCCTTTTCTGTAATTACTATTAATTCCATATGGCAAACAAGAGCATGTTTTTACTGCGCAACAAATTATAAAAGAGATCAGAACAACAATGGCAAAGTAACAAAAGTACTAATAATTAAGATTATCAAAATGATCAGGATTCTTTAAAGGGTGTGAGTGTGGGTGTGACTAAAGAAAAGTGACAACCACAACAACACTCCCACCCCACCCAGTCACCCTCCAGTCTACTCGAATCGAATATGTGAATGCTCATCTAGGAGGCAAACTTCGAACGATTTATTACTGGTTTGGATGTGCAAATTAGCGAATAATAAGCAAGACATAAGGAGTATGGCGTGATTTTTACAATTCCCAATGTACGAAAACGTGTCCGGTATTTTCATTTTTGATGAGTGCGATTTTTAGTTGGCTAAAAATCTCTTTAACGCGTTGATGCTCTATACTATCAGGCAAGGTAATCATTTGCATAATAATAAGTTTATCAGCACCACCATGACATACAATAGTGTCTCCCAGGTAAACCTCTTCATTTTCAGCTGTAATTCGTTTTAAAATTCCGTCAGCTATTCCTCGTATTTCGGCCTTGACATCATCATCTTCAACAATACGATGGCAAGCCCGGCGTACATTTTCTAAATGCCCATAAAACACATTTTCTTTTTGATTAGTGGCGCTCAATGCGATTTAACCTACCTTGAATTTGTGGAAGCCAAGCATAGATACCGTATGAAGCAAGACATATGGCACCGATATCATCGATGATTATCAATTTTTCTGTCCAGTTCCCATGAGTACCAAATGAACCTGCACAGAATTGAAAAAAAAATATTCTTGAAAAATTCAGAGTTGCTCTGAAATGCGGTTCATTGCGTTGTCCTCTGCTTTTGCCAACTATAAAAACCGCAATTCATTATATTGTATTTATTGGAAATTACTCCAAACATACTCATTCCCTCTTTTTGAATTGTCCGTTTATGTGACTAATACGCATCATAACAAAGAACCCTGTGACAAAACTTGATCATCATGCTATTAGTTGAAGTGTTATAGTATTTTGCCGAAAAAAGAGCACTGTTTTCATAGTCACTGCTGATAAAAATAAAGTTTCTTGAAGCTTTTTGTACGAAATTCAAATACCTTTCTCATCACGCTTGGTATGATTTTAGTGATTAGGTCTCAGTATCACTATCCAAAATGGTAACGTGTTATCTGATTCAAACACTTGACTACTCATAGAATAGATTCGAGTCAAACTTTGAAAACGGTAAAAACTCGATCTTTGATACTTTTTTCAAATCCGAGCTCTGAATAAAACACACTGGTCGCGATGATTTTATCGAAAAGTTCCTTAACCAACGTGCGTTGATGCTTATATCTACTCACCAAGATAACCAAAACCTAAAGCACCCAGATTCATGAGAATATCACTTTGATGATCTTTCTTCAATGCTTTTGAGTGTGCACTTTTATTGAATACACATACCACAAGAAGAATCAACTTAATCACTGAAAAAATCGACCGAAACGTTGTTTGGTATTAGTATCATGAAATAACACTTACGAATCAATGCTCCCACAATTGAAGCACTTGCTACAGTGATATTTGCCTTTTCGGGTACCTCTCCATGGGAAAAAAAGTATTGATATTTTGCCCATAATCGAAGCCCTGCTTGGATGATGACTCCGCCTAGCATGCCTGTCATGATAACAGCCATCGTCAAAATAGCCAATGTCTCAATATTTTCCCGACCTGAAACAAGATTCTATTTTTATATTCTGAACTTCATACCAGCATCTATGTACATACCTAAAGGATACTTATTCTTGTTTCGTTTAGCTATAAAAGATGCTCCCAAAAGTAAGCTAAGATTAATCAAATCGACGGCACTGTCACCCACTAAAGAACGAATGGACATGGAGCTTGACCAAATAGTGGCGACAACTTTGAGAATTAGAAGGATCTACAACAGTAAAATTTTCAGTAGTTATTGTCAAAAACATAAAAAAGGCTACTCACCATTGTGAAGACCAGATGAATGTAAAGGACCGTTCTCAATTTGACTTTCCACCAACCCAATGTTCCAGATTGCTCTTTAGGCGGTTCTCTGTGATGAAGAAAAAATATCAATGAAGTTTCATTCATCTCTCAATGCCCATTGACTTTATATGCATATATAAGGAAATCACATCAAGGCATCTTGCAAAACAAACTACGAATCAGATTTAAATTGATATCGAGCTAGAAAATAGTTTTTCTCAGATGAGATGTCTTTTAAAAAAGTTGCATCTGAATTTTTCTTTAGCTGAAACATTGTCATAGTTGTTAGAAATAAATCGAAAGAATCTTAATATCAGCCCTTGAATACAATCGATTTAAGAAGATTTGTTCAGATCGATATGACTCTTACCTATATATGATCTAACAATGGAACTGTTTGTCATGTCAGTTGATTTCATTAACTATATTCGGGTCAAATTATAGCCCTCGACGAGAAACTATCAAATTAAAAATATGAGCTGCTGGTAGCGAACCTGGATCGAGTTATTCAAATTTTAAGGTATTGACAATTTAGACATATAAAGAACAACAGAATTTTTCAAATTCAGTTTTTCTGCACTATTAACTTTTTTTTAAGCAGTGTTGCCTTCTCGTCAACGTTTTCAATGATTTAGTAGTATGTGAATGAGAAAAAATAGACTTCTTATAGGGAAAATGACTCGTATATAAGATACCATAATTCAGTATTGATGCTTCAGTATCCGATGTAACGATACTTTGTTTAAGCTTGGTTTTTGGTAGTTGAAATCGAGTGTGAATTTGCAGAAACGTTCTTTCTGATCTCCTACAACAATCATTACGTCAAAAGGGTTACATTAACTCGATAAAAGTATGAATCTAGTGAACATCGTACAACATCTTGATTTAACTAAAGCCGAATTTGGTTCCGAAGCTACAACAACAACACGGGATATAATATTTGCTTCGCAGCAGTTATTTGAAATATTCAAAACTTTCCAACACAGTTACTTCAGCGAACTCCATACTTATCACCCTCTTGAATTTGATGATAAATACGATGCTATGATTGATGAAGAAGAGAGTAGTGATGAGTCGGATGATTATGAAGAAAACCAGGAACAAGTATTAGAAATCATTTCACTTTGGAAGAGATGAAAAGTATTATTGAATGGGTTGATCAACATCCAAATTGTACAATTGCCAGTATTTTGAATAGACTTCGAAAAATTAAATCCATAGCTTGTATCAAAAGATTCAGAGAGTATATTAGTCGAAACGACTCAACACTTGAAAAACTAAACAAAATCAAGGAATTTATGTTGAACGAATTTTATATTAAAAGAGCCGTTGGAAAGAAGTAGTGCATAATATTGATCTAGAACTTTTTGCAATACACAAGGCAAGAGATTTAGGTTGGGATACCTTCAAGGCGAATGAATTATTTATTAACACATTTAAGAAAGAAAATCGAATTTCATCAAGAAGATACAATAAACTTATTACCAGAGCAACATCAACTAGAAAATTCTGTACTTTAAATGGTATGTTTTAACCGTATTTAAATTCATTATATTTGTCTAAATATAATATATTTTGGATACCCGAAATTGGATTGAAAGTAAAAGATCATTGATTTCAAAATATGCTCCACATGAAGTTCTAAACAGTGATCATTGTTTCTTTCAACAGGAATATGTTTCTCCTAGAACTCTTTCATTTACTGGTGAACGAACAACAGAAGTAGCTGTTAAAAAAACTATTATATTACCCACCCATGTACAGTTCAACCTGTTAGTGCAGCTGCCGGCTACTTGTTACATGAATTTTTGCTGATTCTTCACGAAAAACAAAAGGAGTTTGGTATCAGAGTACACAAGGACTTAATCGTGCCGCCAAATGTGGTTGTACGAGCTTCTACCTCTGGAAAAAGTAGTGATAAAAAGTAGGGATGCACCAATTCCGATTCCAACCAATTCCAATTCCAATTCCAATTCTTCGGTAGAAATTGGCGTAATTGGTTGGAATTGGTCGATAATTGATCAGGGTCGACCTAGATCCGGTCGAAATTAGTCAAGAACTGGTAGGAATCGGCCAAGAACTGGTCAGAATCGGTGTAGAATTTATTTAGAATTGGTCTGCAATTAGTTAAGAATTAATCGTAATTCCTATGGAATTAGCATTGTTTAGAAAATTTTCTATCTAATGTGAAGGTTCACAAGATACTCTATATGGTACCATAAAAATATCTTCGGATATGACGACAAAGTTTTTTTTCAAAAATTTGCCCTACCAGCCCCCAGGGTTTTTGAAACAAGTGCATCTTCAAACACTCCCTACCCCTTAGGAGGTATTGCACGAAAGATACAACAAAAAATAGCATAACAGGTGCTCACTCAATATCTCAGATTTCGATGAAATTTTGTCCATATGTAGCCCCAAGTCAGATATGAAAACGCTAAAGATTTCAGCTTCTAAAACCTTTCCTTTGTTGAGTTATTCAGTCCACAACAGAGGCACCGTCAGGTAAAAAATGAATATGAGTAATGCACTACCCATGCATTGTATATTTCGCCATTTTGTAACAATGATGTTTTTAGGGCTGAAATTTTTTGGGTATACACTACCATAGATACTCTGCATACAGGCACGCTCAAAAACATTCTAAGTCGTGTTCATCGATATAGCGAAACTTCATAGGTTCTAGATACCCCCTCTGCCTTGTGACCAGACTTTCTATCGCTTATGAGCCAACTATGAGCTCGGGCTTTGGAACTAAGTACTAATGACCTGTATCTATTAGTAGCAATTTTCAATACCTTGGTGTTTTACTTTTGACCTGAACAAAAACATTTTCTAGTGTATATGTTACAGAAGAGATTGAAATCCAGGGCTATTTAAAATAGTCCTTAGGGGAAATTGAAATTTTAATATCCCCTAGGGCAAATTAAAATTTTATTTTTTCCGGGTTCAATTTATGAGAACAAGTAAAGATTTTGACTTCAAAACGTACTACATTCGCACCCACATTAACGCTGGCATCTAATTATCAAGTTCCATCACATCAGTCTTTTCCAAATACCTGAATTCGCGCAAAAAACACTTATCTTATTTGTGGGGATGAATGTAGCGTGTACATGTGGGTGTGGGTGTAAGTGCGTGTATGGGTGCTAGTATTAGTGTGGGTATGAATGTAGTACGTTTTGAAATCAAAATCTTTACTTTTTCTCATAAATTGAACCCGGAAAAAATAAAATTTTAATTTGCCCTAGGGGAGATTAAAATTTCAATTTCCCCTAAGGGCTATTTTAAATAGCCCTGCATTCTAATCCCCCCTGTAACATATATATGAGCTAATTTGGGTAAAACGTCGGGATTCTCCCAACGTTGGCAGAAACAAAAATGTCGAAATATAAAAATGTCGAAACATTCCATAGTTGAAGAGTAAATCTAATGGAATGTATGATATCCATCTATTTTTCATAAAGATGTCATTGGAAGTCACTTAAAAAAGGGTACATGTGCATGATAAGCACATCCTATCAATGGAATCAACATCTATTGGCTTCTGAGCACACCATCATTATTAGAGATCTCTATTAATGATGGTGTGCTCATAAGCCAATAGATATTAATTCCATTGATAGGGGTGTGCTCATTCTGCACATGTACCTAAAAACGAATCGACACATTGTATAAACGATATAGTGACTATTTAATTAATGCGTCTGATCTTCTTCATGGTCTCTCTTTCATCGTGGCTAAAAAAAAATGATTTACAAAAGAGAAATTATATTAATGTTGGTCAATTAACTTATCGAACACTTTATTTTTTTCCGATTCTTCTTTTTTTATTGAATGCGCATAGCTTAAATACTTAGTTTTTTATATCCTCAAAAAATGTCACAAACGATTTTTCTTTATTGCTCATTCGATATATTCACTTTTCGACTTATTAGCTATCGACATTTTTATACTTCGACATTTTCGTCATTTATTTTTCCGATATTTTTACTTTCTACATTTTTTCTTGTACCAAAGTTGAGATTACCAAACGTCGGATCCACTTTCACACAAGCTGCCCAGTCGTGATTATCAGTTTCTGGTTAAATAAAGATATTACTAAGAAGAGCAAAGATTCATGAATTTTGACGCAAGCTGTTTGAAAAAATAGTGTACCGTTCTCGCGATATTAACAATTTACCGAAAGCACTATCGTCAAAAAAGCATAGTTTTTCTGATTTTTTGTGAGATTCATATCTCACCAAGAAAACACCAGTTTCACTTGAAATTTTCACTGGGCATATATATTAAGCTAGTGCACTTATTATAAAAAAAATGAGTTCAAACGAGTGTACTATTGATGAGTTGATCAGTACTACCGGATACACGGCAAACTGGTCATTCATCTGTGTTTTGCGTAGGGATGCAACGGTGACCATAACCGTAGGTACGGTTACGGGTTCAAACCATTGTCAAGAAAAACAGCATTTTATAAAAAAAAATAACGATATCTCATAAAGCTTGACGAAAGTAAATCGAGGTCGGAGGATCCGAATCTAAAGTCAGCTTTTGAAAATTTTGAAATGAATTTTCTTCGCAAAACGAAAGGTTTTTTTCAGAGAAATAACGATATCTTATGAAGGCTGAAGAAAGTAAATCAAGGGTGTGTGGGTGCGGGTGCGGGCGTTGTTGTGTTTGTGACTTCTCTTTAGTCACACCCACACCGTCAAATATATTCTGGGTGGTTTCACGCTGGTCCGCCCAGATTTACATCGACCTTCTGCAGGCAATATTTAATCATGCTAGTTTTGTAGCGCGTATCGAGTTGTGTAGGAAACCATGTTTTGTTTTTCACGAAAT